TTATTTTGATTCTACAGAATAGTCAAATCAAAATAAAAAAATTTTATTGAATTAGGTTGGGCGACCATCTAGATATTTTTACTCAAATTCTTGAAAAATTTTAAATTCTATAGGATATGATGCATTAAGAATGCTATCTAAATTTAGAGTATAATCTGTGCCTATCAAAAAAGTAACCACAGATCTATCAAAAATGAAACTTTTGCATTATAAACCTAAAAACCTGTCACGTACTAATATACTTACTCTAAAGTCAGATATGTGCAATTGGTACGTGTCTGTAGACTGTCTGCAATATTGAACCTAGCTGCCGCATCAAAATTTCACAGAATTCCTCGATTTTGATTGGCTAACAGCTGTAATCTACAAAATTTTGGCCCGCATTACATAATTGTTTATATAATTTTTGGTCAGAATTAACTTTTTAACTTTTTTATTTCCAAACCGAAAATTTTTAGAGAAATAGGCCTATATAATGATAAAATTAGCCCAGGAATATTTTTCACTTAATGTGCGGCTGTGGTTTTATTATTGAAATTTTGAGTAATTTTGGCCTAAATTATTGATCATTGCTCTTAGCCAATCAAAATTAAGGAATTCTGTGAAATTTTGGTGCAGTAGCTAGATTTAATGTTCGCAATAAAAAATCTTGATTTGATGTAATATTACGAGATCAAAAATTTCAAAACAAATGTCTATTTAGAAAAAATTGCCTTTATCTCAAAAATTCATATAAGAAACAACTCTTCATGCATTAACAAAAAAAATTCCTCAGGTAATTTTACTATACTCTTTTTAATATTCAACTTTAGTTTAGATGCTAATTCTATCATAAACAAACTTAAACAATTTTATCAATCGTCATATGATCGACAAAAATTTGTTGGTGATACTGGAGAAGATCAAAGGTCAGAGATAATCATGTGATGAAGCAATCAAATTATAGAATTTTGATAATTGCCGGTAAAGCAATACAAGAAAATAAAAAATACAAAAAATATAAAAAACAGCAGTCAAAACCTGCTTCAGGTAGGTTAAGCAAAAATGTCAGAAAGATATATAACTACCTAAAACCTAACCTAACCCTAACCTAAAATGACCTAACCCTAAAGTTAATTCGAAATACTAATTATATAATTTATCTTCATTTTAGATTCCCCAAATTTGAAATTGGGGTTCTAGAATAATCCACGTATAAATCTATATCATGCCTTTTTTTCTTCTTTTCATTCTTTAAGTTATTGGTTAATTTTTGTAGATCTAAAATGCGCTGAGTAATCTTCATTCAAAGTTTTGACATCTATAAAAAGAAGCTGCGCCAAATTTTTTTTAAAAATTTTACTAAATATTTCTTGACAATCAGCTATCCAAATTCGATGAAATTTTTTTTTTTTAATTCTATGGCTTCATAGAATTAAAATAAAAAAAAATCACCAAATTTGAATAGTTGATTGTTGAGAAATCTTCGTTTAAAGTTTAAATGAAAAATTTATTGCAATATTTCTTTGTCTTAAATTTTTTAAAAAACTTTAGATGAAGATTTCTCAACAACCAACTATCAGAATTTTTTTTTATTTTATCGTGCTTTTCAATTTATTATGATTATCAAATGATCGACCATCACATGAAAATCTTCAAAATTCCTTAAATTTAAAGCTTTTTTTGCGAACAAATCTAAATAACTTGCTACCAAATAAAAATTCCCAAAATTCCCCTTCTATTTTCATTTCTTTAACACTATGTCTAGTAATGCACGAAAGCTGCATGTTTGTATAGCTGAATTATAATAGCATTTTTTTGAATCAAAATTGAAACTATAAATTATACTAAATCGTCTTTTCACTAAATACTAAAATATATCATTCTAGTTATAATAATATCTGGTTATAATAACATTTAACCATAATAACATTCTTTACATCAACAATTTTCTTTATTATATTATAATAATATTAGACTTAATGATATTTTTTTATATTAGAACATATTGAACAATTGTTTTTACTTGTTTTGTGACGTGTATTTTAAAATTACAAAAAATCTTTCTTTTTTTTTTTTTTAATTGTAAGAAATCTAATTATAAGAAAATATTTTTGAAACTGTAAGCATTTGATTGCTATAAATTAGTACAAAATAAAATTTCTAATAAAAATCCTAAAATATTTTTAGATATCGCATCTTTATAGTGAGGATCTTAAGTGGTGTATTATCTATTTGTATTATGATCATTATTCAAAAAATAAAATTGTCACTGTTTTATATATTAGTAAATCATTAGTGAACAAAGTTTTAAAAATTTATAAAAAATAGGGTACAGTAACTCATCCATGGCGCAAAGTTACCAGATTACGAAAAACATTTAACAGAAACAATATGAATGTATGCATATATGCATAATTTTATTTTATATTATCTAATGCTAATAATAATTCAAATAATTCTCATAACAATTAGATATTACAAGAAATCGTCAAAGAAAAGGTCGATTGGTTTTTATATAAGCTTGTTTCTGAAATGGAACAGTGTACTGGAAAGACGGTTTCAATTCTGACATTATAGAGGTCCTTAGTATACTGTGGAATTACCTGAAAAAAGGTTAAGTTATCTTGTTTTATTAGTAAAATACTTATAACTTCTAATAATTATACTATTATTTTAATTTAGTTTCATAAAGAAGCAAAAAAAAGAAATGAACTTACACAAAGTGCCTTTATAGCACGTGTTGGAATATACTATCAGCCAAAACATCTAGTGTTTACGGATGAAGTGGCAAAAGATGAATGATACATAATACAAGGTTATAGATATTCACAAATTAATACCCGGGCAGCAAAAAAAGTTGTATTTGTGCATGAAACACGATACTCAATTTGCCCTGCTTTAACATTACAAGAAATAATCGCTATTGATATAGTAGAAGGAATTCATACAAAGCCTAAATTTAAAGATTTTATAATAAATAAAGTTGTATATATAAACTAATTATAATAGAATAGGGTAAACCCAAGTTGTGAGCTAGTAAAATCTGCATATAGATCAAATCTGTGTTTAGTTATATACAAAAGTGGATTTCATTCTTATAGATCAATTTTTTAATACTAATTTGTTAATTTTTTTTTATAATAGTTGCCACAGATGAATTTCTACCCACATCCTAATAGCATTTTAGTCTTGAATAATACACATATTCATCACGATAATGGGTTGCTAGAATATTTAGATGCATTTGGAGTACGTATAGAGTTTCTTTCTCCATATTTACCTGATCTCAATCTGATTGAGATAGCATTTTCTGTGATTAAGAATTATTTGCAATGATACCGGTACTTTGTTGAGAATTTACACGACCCAATATATCTTTTATTGGTGATATGTGCACAAGTTTCACCAAAAATGGCAAAAAAATTTTATGAAACTTCTGGATATAAGTAAAAAAAAAAAATCTAGATTTATACAATGTGGTTATACGGATCTAGCAAGTTTTTTTTTATTTAGATAATTGCGAGATTAGAAAATTTAGAATTGCAAATTAGTGCAAATTATTTAACCTTTTATAGATTTTTTCACAATAATTTTTTATAAGTATCTTGTTAGATGCAAGTATTTTAAGAGTTAATTCATATTGCATATAAGTCGCATATGATCATTTGAAATTGAATTTGTTTTTTATTTTATATATTATATATAAAGTAAATTTACTTATGTCGCTGTCATATACCAAGATCTCAAATTGAAATAATTGTAATAATAACATTTAGATTAGTGAATTACCCAAATCTGTGCCTATTTCTTTTTTTTTTTGCATATCCCAAACTTTAAGGATCAATATATATGATACAGTTGATAGTGCAGAGAAATTACTAACAATAACAGACATTGCATGAATGTCTTTTCAATTAGAGTATCCAGGCTTATGTGATTTCAGAAATTTTTCATTGTTTGCACAATGAAAAATCCCTGAAATCGCATAAGTCTGGACACTCTATTTCCAATCCTTTAATTATACAAACAAAAAGTTTCAGATAATTATCTCGAAAAAGTTTTGGATTTGATACAATTTAGGAATCTGGTTTGGGTAACATCACTATACTCTAGTCAAGTAATATGTAAGTTTGGGTTATAACATGATTACAACACAATTGTTGAAAGTAATAGAATTCTACTAAATTTTAAATTATCAGGTTATTGAGATATAATTTTCAACTTTTGATCGCAATCATATTTAAGTAATCAATAAATATACCATTATAATGTATATTGGTTATTAATATAAGGGAAAATAATAGTCAGGAGAGATAAAGAATATTTAATAATCGTTTTTGTAAAGTTTTATTCGCTATTACTTGTGTAATAAAGGCCGGTTATATTGCACAACTTTGCCTATTTTAAAAAACCCTGATTGCATTAATAATTATATAAACAGGTTTCGAGATAGGAAATATTCTATGTTTTTATATTATTACATTCTCTTAGAACCTGTTGAGGCTTTTTATACATTACTTTTATATCAAACAAAATTAATTTCTATTTTCACAAATCAGATAATAGATTAAAAGTATGTATCATATTATTTTTGGTTGATTTTTTAAGAAGACAATGTATCAGAACGAGAAACCTAAAGAAATGAAATATGTTATAACAAAGTTTTTCAATAAAACAATATCAAATTTAGACAATTATTATAGAAATTACAGTTTTATAATTTTACTATTTCAACAAAGCAAATACTTAAACAGCTATACTAATTACAACATATCTAATAAACAAAAGTAAAAAACATTATAAAAATTTTCTGCATAATCATGCAAGGTTCTTCGAGCACTAATTGTGTTTACTCCGCATTGCTCAAGTTCTTTGTCTAATAATTTACTTAAGTACTTTACTGAAACTTGTTGTGATTTGAATTCATTCAAAAAATTCTGATAATAATAATCTGTTTCTTCTCTTTTATCTATCTCTTTTAGAAAATCAGCCATTGTTAGTAATGTATTTGATTTATATTAACTAACTTGAAATGAAGATGAAGTAAATTGTGGTGTTGGTGTATAGTACAGGTTGAATAGCATCAATGACAGTGTGTGATAAGTGTTAAATGGTGGCAAAAATAGCTGAAACACTGAAGGACCAAAGGTCCAATTACTTGGTACTTGCGATAATAAAACTGATAGTGCTTGGGGCAACAAAGATGCTTGTGATAGTGAATGTGCTTGTGACAAAAAAGGTGTTTGTGGTGGCAAAAATTTTTGTGGTAGCAAAGACTCTTGTGGTGGCGGTGATATAGATGAATATCTTTTTTGGATGATATTCTGTTATAAAAAAAGAGAGGATATGTTGGAGGATCTTTAATCGTGCTTAATCTTTTATTCTAAATTTATATATGATAAATATTATTATATAACAGATAATGATAAATATTACGATTTATAATGAGTATAGTTAACACACTATAGCAACACAGAATAATTTGCTAAAAGTTAATTGAATATTTTACGAATATTTAATTATTATAAAACTTACTATATCTGATGCCCATATCATAAGCATCATAAATGTAATTTCTACATATAGATCTTTATTACTTTCCTTATTTAGATAAGGCCGATTATGTATGTTACAATGATATTCTTTTTGAATTTTTAAAATATTCATAGCAATTGTTTGATCGTGTAATGATAAAGATGATGCATTTGGAATTTTATTGCTATTTTTGTAATTATCTGTAGATTCTTTGTCATTGTTATCGTTATTATTCAATTTGGCATCCTAAACCATTTTGTAATTCTATTAACTGATATAAATTGTTAATAATATATATACATATTTAGTAATTCAGATATCTTTTTTTTTTCTTTAATTTGAGACGTTTGCACAATTGTTACATAAACTCCCATATCAATACTTTTTGCAGCTACCTTAAGACATTTAGCTTTAAATTTTATAAAATCTTGTGCATCAGATAATTGGGTACTAGCACCAGTTTCTTTTTGTATCTTAAATGCTATGTTATAATCAGTTGGTAAGAGATTATTATCTTTCGTTAGCATAACGATTTTATTATGAATTGATAACAAAAATTCATCTACAGTTGATACAAATTTTTGAAACCATTTAGCTGGTAACGAAATTCCTTCAGCAGTTTTAATATTTAACTTGTAACCTATTTCAAGTTCAGTATTATTATCACTGCTTATTTCATCTTTAGTAGTTATAACAAATACAGAAGAAAAAGGTGATCGGGTTCTCTAAAAAAAAAATATACGATGTATCTAAATAAACTTATAAAAACAAATAATAACAATAAATTATATTAGTTCTAGTTATAATATTCGTTGCTATAACTATTACCACATCCGTTGCTATATCAGTTACTACATCCATCATGCATTATCCATTTCCACATCTATTGCTTTATCCATTACCACATTCATTGCATTAACCGTTGCTTTATTTGTTGATTTTTTTTTAGTTTTTTCAGGATTCAGTTTGAGCAAAACATTGTGGCATCAACCACAAAGGAAAAACTTGAAAGATTTTTTTAAATTTATTTGATAATTATGTTCCAAACCTTTTTTATGAATGTATTCAAATTTTGGAGCTGCTCAAGTAGGTTGATATTGATGTGTGTACGCTTGTTTGACATGAATGGTTCTGTTTTTTTTTGTTGGTACTAATTTTTTACAACTGCAAGTAATCTGGCACAGATCTGCTGCGCAGTACAAACATTTCCTGCATCCAAAGCAGGTTCCACAATGGTATTTGAGTTTTGTGTTTAATGCATCTGCCATAAGACATTTGATTAATGTGAAAAAAAAATTTTTCTAGTTTTAGAATTTTTTTTATATTTATAGATTATATTTTGGATTCCCAATTCTCAGATTTCCAGATTTTTAGTGATGTGTGATGTTGGAAATTTGATGATCACAGTAAATTGAAAAGTGTGATAATTCTATAAAACCATAGAATTAAAATAAAAAATTTTTCATCAAATTTGAATAGCTGATTGTTGAGAAATATTTAGTAAAATTTTTAAAAAAAATTTGGCGCAGCTTCTTTTTTATAGGTTCCAAAACTTTGAATGAAGATTACTTAGCACTTACCTGGCTGAATTTAGCCTTTTTTTTTTTTTTAATTCTATAAGTTCATAGAATTAAAATAAAAAAAAATTGACCAAATTCGGTCAGATAAGTGCTGAGTAATCTT